GCTCATATTTCAGAGTGGCAAGGTAAGGTATTAGACAAAAGAAAGTTATTTAAGGCTTGGTATGCAACAAGATCTTTTAAAAAAAAGTTATTTAAAGAAGACAGAAGGATAAACTAATGAAATAGACAAACAGGGAAATTAGATCTGTTTGAATACAGAAAACATAAAGTATCTCAATCTTTTTTGTTTCAAAGTATAAACCTTTGATACCACTGCAACTCAATATAAATAAAAAAAATTGAGAGTTCCTCTGAAGATTAAAGTATCACAGCAAAGGTGTTTCCAGGCTTAGGAGCAAGTCTCTCAAACAGGAATTATTTAAATTCCTTTTAATAGGGCAAATTAAATAATTAACACTAAACCTCTATCTGAATATGTATTTTTTCTATAACCGGGCACGGTGGTGTGCCTGTAGTCCCTGGGCAACCTAGTGAGACTCCATCTCAAATAAAAAAACAGAAACCAAAAAACAAAGGAAGAGAATTGTATTTACAGAAATATGTCAGAGATTATTGAAAACCACATATATTTAAAAATTCAATTTTAGAAATTCTAGAATTTTCTAAGAACCTCTAAACAGAAAAATAAGAGCAGTAGTAGCACATTGGTAGCCAAAGTATTCTTTGAAGTTGGGATAAGTGGTACAGAGAAAAGGGGGCACTAGATAATCATTTATAAGCAGTAATTTTTTTTGGTGCCCACTCTTCTATGTGGTATGCCCTGTTTCAAATCCAAGGATACAGCAGTAAATTTGTGTTCACATTCTAAAGGGGTCAGAAAAAAATATGTCAAAACATATCAGATGGTTACAAGTGCTAAGAAGAAAAAGCGGGGAAAGAGGAAACAGAAGGTGTTATTTTACATAGATAAAATAGTACATCATGATCATGCCTAATGAACTAATGAACATTTTCTATTAGGATGACCCTGTAAACAGATACTCAATGCTTAAAGTAGTTAAGTGAGCCACATAGAAATAAGAGTGTTCTAGGCAGAGGGAACAGCAAGTGCCAGTGCCCTGAGCCATGAGCCTGCTGGCACATTTGACAAACCATAAGGAAGTCAATATGGCTGGATTGCAGACCAGCAAAAGTTCAGTGATAGAGTTGTGTAGTCTGTGATAAGGACTAAGGATCTTGTTCTTGGTGAGATGGGAAGTCATTCTGAAAAGGAAGAGTATGATCTGACTTACAGATCTTAACAGAATCAGTCTGGCTGAAAACAGAGCTTTAAGAAGTGAAGGGCACAAGTAGAAAGGCTGAAAACAGAGCTTTAAGAAGTGAAGGGCACAAGTAGAAAGACTCGCCAGAAAGCAAGTGCTTGATTGAGGCTCCAGATGGCAGTGGCTTGGGTGAAAATGATAGTAAGAGAGGCGGTGAGATATTTTTAGAAGGTAGATAAAACTGTCCCCATCGACTTCTTTAACATTAAAAAAATTTAAGATATAATTCATACATCATAAAATTCACCATTAAAAAAAGTATGTAGGCTGGGCATGATGGCTCACACCTGTAATCCCAGCACTTTGGGAGGCCAAGGCAGGTGGATCACGAGGTAAGGAGTTTGAGACCAGCCTGGCCGACATGGTGAAACCCCGTTTCTACTAAAAATACAAAAATTAGCTGGGTGTGGTGGCATGCGCCTGTAATCCCAGCTACTTGGGATGTTGAGGCAAGAGAATTGCTTGGACCCAGGTGGTGGAGGTTGCAGTAAGCCAAGATCATGCTACTGCACTCCAGCCTGGGCAACAGAGCAAGACTATGTCTTGTGGGTTGTGGGCGAAGGTATGTAATACAGTGGTTTTTAGTAAGAATTCTTATACTTTATAACTTTAACTTTTTAATATGGCTTCTTTAATCTTTCAAATCTTTCAAAGATTAGAAAGAACCTTTGTTCAGTAGAAATTATATATTTTGAGGGCTGTAGACATGCTAGTGTCAGCTGGCCCTGAACCCATCTTTATCTTGTCATAATTTCATATAGGCCAAGTATCTTGTACATTGAAAAAATGTTTAGGTTGTGTAAAAGGCAAATGACATGCTAGTTTGAAACATTAATAAAAAATGCAAAAGAAAAAAATTTAAAAATGCAAACATTCACCTAAATTCATATACTGTTATTGTAAAAGCTATCATGAAATGTATTTTGTGCCTTTTTTCTCATCTGTAAAAAAGGGCCTTGGACTGGTTGATATCTATGGTTTCTTTCAGCCTCCTGAGTGCTGGGACTATAGGACTGTGCCACCTCATCTGGCTAACTTTTATAACATGTTTTGTAGAGATGGGGTCTCACTATGTTGCCCAGGCTAGTGTTGAATTCCTGTCCTCAAGCAATTCTCTCACTTTGGCTTCCCAAAGTGCTGGGATTATAGGTGTGAGTCACCATGCCTGGCCCAGATATCTTTTTAAATTACTTACTGTTTGCAGTGTACACCAAAATCTTCTATTTTATTAAGTGGGATAGTCTGGTACTCAGAAGGTCCTTCATCAGGAGGTTTGTAGCCCTAAACAAAAATGAGGCAAACAGAAGATTAAAAAAACATATATATAAACGAGAAAAACATCATGTTTTCTATGCAGCTTTCTAATTATAGGATTATTAATTTTGGGAGGCAAATACTTAACATGAGCATTCTAATAAAAAAAAAATACTGTTTCTACTTTCCCCCTACCCTGTTTGGTGGCTATAGGCTGGATTTTGCTTACAGATTTATTTTTCTTCTCCTTAGGTGATGTACTTTTGTTCTAATTAACTATTTTAGATTGCAGGCTCCTGCCAGGGAAGGAAACAGACCTATAGATTTAGCTCGTTTTTTCTCTAGTACCTGTCAGAATGCCACAGGCACACAGATAGTTATTAAAGACTGCTTTCCCAGTAAAATTAACAATATATAACATAAATGTATTACCCTTTACTAGGGACAGCTTGTGGTAGTTTACTATTTTGTAAATATTATTAAATTGTTTTAACAAAAAGAGATATTGCTAATGTCTTTAATAATAAGTCAAATATTTGGAATTTAAAACATGTAAGGACTTATAATTGTAAAAATTACTAAGCATTCCTACAGTCCCAGCTACTTGGGAGGCTGAGTTGGCTTGAGCCTAGGAGATGAAGGCTGTAGTACACTATGATCATGCCTGTGAATAGCCACTGTACTCCAGCCTAGGTAACACAGTGAGACTCTATCTATCTCTTAAAAAAAAAAAAAAAAAAAGTTACCTTTGGGTATGTCCTAAAGGCGCCAAGATTCACTTTCCCTGCAGATATTGTTCTTGTTGGATCAATCACCACTGCTACAAATGGTTCCTGGAACTGCTGATTGAGCATCTGAGTACTAACATCAATCCCAGAAAGCCAGCAGCCATAGCCAGGATGGCTATGATACCACCCGATTGCATTTTCAAGGCGGCCAACCTAACAAATGAAGGGGCAAAAAAGTTTAAGATTACTCTTTAATTAATTTACAAGGTACCAGTACAATAAAGGTAACCAGTCTCCTTCCCATCTCTTTCTCCTCAATTACCCAGTTTTATCAGCCCAAATGTGAAATCTATAGGCAATTGCTTACCCTTAGAGATATTCTTTGTATACAGAATACATATTCTTTGCATATATATAGATTGATAAAAACACACACAGTAGCATACCACGTAACAATAATAATGTTTCACACTTTGCTTTTTCACTCAATAAACTGCTTTGGAGTTTGCTTCACATAAGTCATCAATATACATGATGGTTACTTTTTTTTCTTTTTTTCTTTTAAAGGCTGCCTGGCAGTCCACTGATGGGATATACCATAATTTATTTAGCCAGTTTTATACTCAGGAACTGAGTTAGATTGTTTCCAAATTTTTTATTTTAAACACATATCTGGTAATAAGTGTGAGAGTTTATTTAAAAAAAAATAAAATCCATGCCATAGACCGGGTGCAGTGGCTCATGCCTGTAATCCCAGCACTTTGGGAGGCTGAGGTGGGTGGATCACTTGAGGACAGGAGTGGCCAACACTCCTGTCCTGGCCAACACAGAGAAAACCTGTCTCTACTAAAAATACAAAAATTATGGAAGGGCATGGTGGCTCATGTCTGTAATCCCAGCACTTTGGTAGGCCAAGGTGGGCAGATCACTTGAAGTCAGGAGTTTGAGACCAGTCAGGCCAACACGGCAAAATCCATCTCTACTAAGAATACAAAAATTATCCAGGCCTACTGGTGCACGCCTGTAGTCCCAGCTACTCAGGAGGCTGAGGAGGGAGAATTGCTTGAGCCCAGGAGGTGGAGGTTGCAGTGAGCCAAGATCACGCCACTGCACTCTAGCCTGGGCAACAGAGCAAGACTATGTCTTGTGGGTTGTGGGCGAAGGTATGTAATACAGTGGTTTTTAGTAAGAATTCTTATACTTTATAACTTTAACTTTTTAATATGGCTTCTTTAATCTTTCAAATCTTTCAAAGATTAGAAAGAACCTTTGTTCAGTAGAAATTATATATTTTGAGGGCTGTAGACATGCTAGTGTCAGCTGGCCCTGAACCCATCTTTATCTTGTCATAATTTCATATAGGCCAAGTATCTTGTACATTGAAAAAATGTTTAGGTTGTGTAAAAGGCAAATGACATGCTAGTTTGAAACATTAATAAAAAATGCAAAAGAAAAAAATTTAAAAATGCAAACATTCACCTAAATTCATATACTGTTATTGTAAAAGCTATCATGAAATGTATTTTGTGCCTTTTTTCTCATCTGTAAAAAAGGGCCTTGGACTGGTTGATATCTATGGTTTCTTTCAGCCTCCTGAGTGCTGGGACTATAGGACTGTGCCACCTCATCTGGCTAACTTTTATAACATGTTTTGTAGAGATGGGGTCTCACTATGTTGCCCAGGCTAGTGTTGAATTCCTGTCCTCAAGCAATTCTCTCACTTTGGCTTCCCAAAGTGCTGGGATTATAGGTGTGAGTCACCATGCCTGGCCCAGATATCTTTTTAAATTACTTACTGTTTGCAGTGTACACCAAAATCTTCTATTTTATTAAGTGGGATAGTCTGGTACTCAGAAGGTCCTTCATCAGGAGGTTTGTAGCCCTTTGGGTATGTCCTAAAGGCGCCAAGATTCACTTTCCCTGCAGATATTGTTCTTGTTGGATCAATCACCACTGCTACAAATGGTTCCTGGAACTGCTGATTGAGCATCTGAGTACTAACATCAATCCCAGAAAGCCAGCAGCCATAGCCAGGATGGCTATGATACCACCCGATTGCATTTTCAAGGTGGCCAACCTGTTTGGCATTTTCTATGTATGCAGCCATGTATTCATATGCAGCAGCCTGAGCATTTACTCGAGTTTCAGTGCCCTCCACAGGCAAAGCAAAGCTGTCCATAATGATCATGGTTTCACCATCCACCTTTCCTAGCATCAGACCCATCACTTCTAAGTTGCCTCCTGATCTGGCATGCATCACCATCTTCAGTAGAGCCAATGCCGAGATTTTGCAGTACTTAAAGTAATGGTGACCCCAAAACAAAAGCACAATGTAATTAAATTTCTTATATAAAGTAAAATTTCAGAAAAGTTTTTATGAAGATAAAGAGTAAGTATTGAAGGAATTTACAGTGATGGAAGGGGAGTGTAGACTATGGGGAGAAAAAGTAGAAAAGGACAGTTTTTGCAGGCTGGAAACAATAAGTATGTTATAGTCCTGCAATGTATCCCCCTTGGGGGAGGGGAAAAGTCTGAAGTAGTTTTTTAATATGCTAAATAAGGGAGTAACATGACCAGTTCAATAGACTTTTTCTCCATTAATCTGGAATCACCCAATCTTGGATTCTGACTGCTTGGATGGTTGTGCCTAACTGTTCTGAGGCCTAACCTCTGGCCTAATGGTTAAGAATGTGGGTTCTGACATTCATCTGCTAAGGTTTGAATCTTGACATTGCCATTCCCTAGCTGTGATATTGGGACAACCATGTAATGTCTATGCCTAGGTTTCCTTTTCTGTAAATAGGGATAGTCATAATTGTTATTAGGATAAAGTAAATGAAATAATGTATATAAAGTGCTTAGCTTAGCACCTTACACATACTAGAACCCTAATAAGTGCTAGCTGTTATCAGCATTATTAACCTGTCTCTTAACCCTACTCTCAAAGAACAGAGTGTTGAAGGGTGGGCTTCCCTGTTATATCAGCCTCAAATTAAAAAGTAGCCATAATATCCTAGTCTTCTATGATCATTATTTCAGAGTTGGTCATCAGTGAATTAAACTCTTGAATAAAATTACATTTTGGTCTCATTAGTGCAGCCCAAGACAGCTAGGATGAATATAATTAGAGCCACAATTAGACAGTGAAGCAGGCCGACAGTTTCCAAATATTTAAGAGTACGCAAACCTAAAATGCACAACCTGCTACAGAAACAGGCAGACAACCAAGCAACTTAAGCAGCCTTACAGAGCAGTCAGTCAACATCTCTACAAAGCCTTTTTAGATGTCTGCCCACAGAAAGAATCCAAATTTAATTCCTAAGCTTTGCCAGATTTCAACCAAAAGCTGAAAAATGTGTAGACCTCATGTTGGAAATCAAGACATGAATCGAAATCTTGGCTTCTCCCTTTACTGGAGAAAAGAAGAAAGACAAGTTACTGTGCTCCTATTACATATATTCTAGACGACTCTTTTTATACATTATCTCACCTAATCTCTATGACAATACCAATAGGTAGGTCTTATTTCCATACTATGACAAATGAAGATGGATAAGTAAATTTCCTAAGGTCAGACTTATCAGTTAGTGACAGCTGTGAAGTTTGATCTTAGGTCTGACTATTGCTCAGCTAAGAGTTCACTTATCTCAGTGTGATCATAAATTACATAATGTATTTGCTTGTTTTTTAATTTGTAAAAAAAGGATGGATATACTGTACTGGGTTGTCATAAAGATTAAATGACGTGGAAATCTCTAGCTAGATGCTTCCACAATTCACCATTGTGGAATCTGAATACTGAGAGACAAGGCTAGCTTTGTAAAAAAAACTGTGAGGCAGTAGAAGTATGTCCTCTTGTTGACTACAGCTCTCATTTCTATCTAACCATTAGCTTTTGTGCTCCTTTTACTCTCTCTCAAACATAGCCCGTAATAATTATCTTTTCCTGAGAGCAGGAAATCTCTCAGGAGATGCTCTCAGGAAAACATAAATATTATGGGTAAAGATCCCTCGACTTGTCACCACTCCCAGGGAAAAATGGGTATTGTTGAAGGGCAAAAAGTCTTAAGCTCGATTTTTAAAATTTCTGGCTTATGGAAACTGATGGAGTAACATTGTAGAGACCAGGTAGAGCCTCCGTGTGCCTCCGAAATAATTATCAGCAATCAAAAAACTATTACAGACCCAGGCCTCACGCCTGTAATTCCAGCATTTTGGAAGGCCAAGGTGGGAGGATCGCTTGAAGGCAGGAGCTCGAGATCAGCCTGAGCGACATAGCGAGGACCCACCTCTAGTTAAAAAAGAAAATAAAAGAAAATAGCTCATAGCTATTTTTGAGACCTTGAGCTGCTGACTCGATTTCTGAAAACAGCTGCGGTCCCCAGTAAGGGAATAGCTGAAGACCCAAATAAGGTGCATGTCGACACTGGGTTCAAGGCAGGGTGTGCGGCATATATGACAATACGGATATTCAGAAGTGACAACTTAAATCACCGCTTGTTGTTCTCCCCTTACATCATCCGGGGGTAAATGGATTAAAGCGACAGAAAGGGGAGTCAAAGCCCCAGCGGAGGGCTTAGGCTCTACTTGCAGATCCAAGGCGCATATTCTGTCCCCCTCCCCGTCGGTGAAAGCTCTTCACCCCTTTCACCTCCCTCTCCCTCTGGGTCTCTTAAACTCCCGCCAACCCTTCCCTCCCCTGCGTCTCGCCAGGGACCTCCTCACTCCTTAGTCCAGGGCTTCGCCGCCAGGATTTCTTGCTGCTGTTTCTTGTCGTATTTGTAGATTTCATCGATACTCTGAGCTTCCTGCATATTGTTGGCCAATTCCCAGGTTTTCTGAGCCATACCGCTCCCGGACGCCGCCATTGCAGAGAAAGCGGAGAAGTTGTCGTCTCTACAACCAAGACGCAACTTTACCTCGCTAGGTCTCCGGGTGTGGGCCTTGACCCTCCGCACCACGGGAACAAACTCTTACCTAGACTCTCGGGGCAGCCATGACACCTAGAACCGGAGGTGAACTTGGTAGAGACCATTCAGGGAAGACAGGGACCTTTCCGGGACATGACGATATAAGCAGCAGTTACAGTAATAGGGAGAGACGAATCTTCTTGTGACTTAAATTAGAACATCTTTCTCGGAAAATTGTATGTGTGAAATAGAACAAACAAAATTATAGGGTATGGGAATGGTATAGTCTTCCATACCGGAAGAAGGGCATGTAACGTTATTCCAGAAACTGTTAATTGCCTTCTCTGCTTGTACTGCGCAGGCTCGGCCTCCGCCATATTAAAGGTAGTTGGAGCCTTAACGGTGAGATGTGGAGGGCAGAAAGTGTTTTTGTGTGGGTATAGGTACCTTAAATGAGATAAGTTTGTTGAAAGACTAAAGGGTAAGGCCGTCTGTTGTACAACTGAGCTAAAAGTCGTTCTGGAAGCTGGTTGAGAGGAAGATAAACATGGCATTCCACTTTACTTCAAGATGACTCACTGCACATGCGTAAAAGCTAACGGGCTCGTGGTGGCTTGGCACTTAACTTGCAGATGGGCTTTTTCTATCGATGCCAGGAGGCAGTGGGTACTCCTTGATTGCTATTGTCATACCTTTTTGGGTGTCGGTAAAAATTAACATCTACATATGCATAATGTGCCATTACTGATCTGAAAATGTCCAGTACTCCGTTCTTATAATAGGTTACAGTTAAATCTTTGGCACTGCTGTGAATTATGTGCCATTACTGTTCTGAAAATGTCCAGTACTCAGTTCTTATAATAGGTTACAGTTAAATCTTTGGTACTCCTGTGAACCGCATTTGTTCCCAAAGCGTAATTAATCTCGGCAGCTGGTTTGTTTTCTTCCTACAGTTAATACAATGTTTTAATTATTTTTTAAATTAGTTTACGTGTTTTAGGTTTTCTTTTTTCTCCATCTCATTCCTCCATCCATGCAAGATTTTAAGTTTCAAGACACAGGGAGCAGGTCTGCGTTCCTTGTTTTATCTCCTAGCACCTAGCATAGGTGTTCAAGATTTTTTTTTTTTTTTTTTTTCCTTTCCTGAAAAGATAGCATCACAGGCCAGGCGCGGTGGCTCACGCCTGTAATCCCAGCACTTTGGGCAGCCGAGGCGGGCGGATCACTTGAGATCGAGAGTTCGAGACCAGCCTGGCCAACATGGTGAAGTCTCTAAAAAAATACCAAAAAATTAGCCAGTCATGATGGTGTGCGCCTGTAGACCCAGCTACTCAGGAGGCTGAGGCAGGAGAATCGTTTGAACCCAGGAGGCGGAAGTTGCAGTGATCCTAGATCGCGCCACTCCAGCCTGTGAGACAGAGCCAGTCTCAAAAAAAAAAAAAAAAAAAAAAAGAAAAGAAAAGAAAAAGAAAAAAGAAAAGATAGCACCACAGCTGTTAACAACCTGGCCCCTACGCACCTCTTCCAGCTTCATCTCTCTTTAGTCCCCCCTGAAACTTTTCGTTCTAGCAATGCAAATATATTTCCTTCGGCTTTGCATATGTGGTCAGCATTGCTTGAAATGCTCTTTCCTACATTTTCTGCCTGGGAACTCATATTAATCTTTAAAAATACAGTCCAGTGAGATCGACCACGAACTCTTTCTTGACACTCCAATGACCATTCCTTCCATGATGTCTCTTAAGTCTCTGTAGGTGCTTCTGTAACTGTTACAATGCGTTGTAATAATCAGTTAAGACAAAAACATTGGAATTATCGAATCCTCACCACAGCTTGCTGTTTTGGCACTTTCAGTTGAAGAAAATTTGCTTTAAAACCATCTTACAAAGAAATTTAGGGTAAAATAGTACATTAATACCTACCCTTAGTTCCACTCTCCTGGGAAACTAGAGGTCTCTTTTCTAGTAGTAGCATATGGCCATATGCTATTGTATTGGGGTGAACTGAATAACATGTTGAAAATGATAAGGAAAGCCCAGGACCCAACGTTGACGACACTCCTGGGCTAGGAGTAACGCCCTGAGAGGTATGCCAACATTTTTCCTCTCACTACCTCCCCATTTTTCTTTCCAGGCTCTGGCACTGTTCCCAAGCTGGCTGGTGCATGGGAGGTTGGAGAGGCTGAAGTAGATTTAGCCTGCGAAGTGGCCCCCACGGTTTAATAGCCCCTGGGCACAGCGGGAGAACGGGTTGTCCAAGTCCCCTGCCAGGGTGCTGGCGAACCGAGAGAGCAGCGGGCAGCTATGCGGCCTCCGGGACAGCAGGGGGCGATGTCTTGCCGCGCGGCCGCCTGCAGTGGGGGCGGGGCCGCACCCGGCGGTGGGCGAAGGGCGGGCGGAGGGCTGGGCCTGAGGGGCGGAGCCCAGGCCCGGAGGTTTTTCACGCTGTTCCCGCGCCAGGTGGCGGCTGCCAGCTTTTCGGTTCGCGACGATCCTGTAGAGCACTGTTCGTCTCCCGGTCTCAGGGAGCCCGCTCCCCTGAGTAAGAGTCAGCCAGCCGCGGATGGGGAGCGTGAGCTGCGGGGTGTCGTGCGGTGTGGTGTGGGTTGAGAGTGGAGAGTCCTGGGGCGGCATTCGCGGCCCCGGAGCGGGGGTAGGGGCAGGGGCTCCCTCGGGGCGTAGGTCTCGAGGCAACTAGGCCGCCGACGTGCCGGAGTTACAGGCTTTGGAGTCTGGGGGTGGAAGAGGGGGGTGGTTTCTTGTCGGCAGGGGGCATCGTGGCGGTTGGGCGCGGTGGGGGAGGTGCCCGAGTTACGGGTGTGGAGAGTTGGGGTCTCGCGGCCGAGAGGCAGGCACCATTGACTGAGTTATGAGGGTTGGGGGCGGGAGTTCCTGTGAGCAGGGGTCTTGCAGCTGCCGGGTTCGGGGAGGTGCCCTGGTTACACGGTCCGGATTCCTGGGCCACCGTGGTCGCTGCCGCCCGCGGTGTTGTTGTTAGCTGGTTGCCTGACGACGCACTGACGCTTCCTAGTCAGTCACCTCCAGGGCCTGAGGGCGAGCAGTGCCTTGGTTCCCACGCGCCTCCTCTACCCAACTGTGAGGCCTCCCCTGCTCTGTCAAGCCTCCCCAGGCGCCTTTCTAGCCCCTCGGTGCTTGTTATTGTTAACGTGGGAGCGCTTGTGCGCACTGCTTTGCTAGTAAAACTTACTTAATCTTCACTGTAGCTCGGTATTGTTGTTACCGTATTTCCCCCCGTGATTGCCCGATTGCTTGAGCTTGAACCTCTTGTTTCTAACTGCCTTGATTTTAGGAATCTTACGTGGGACTTGAATCCAGTTGTCAGTACATGTTATTAATGGAACTCATCTTTTGAGAGAGGCTAGCTCTCAAGATTGTAGGATTAAGACGCTTAACTAGGATTTCGGGGAAGACTAAATTCTGAAGTAAACCACCACCTGGTTTCCAAACACCATGGAAAATGCAGGGGCCTAAAAGTAACCAATAGGAATTTGTAAAATGCTAATTTAGGCCTTTTACAAGTTATTTAGGCTCTGTTCTGTGTGAAAGAATGACTTGTCATGTTAACAAGCTCCATGGAAGCTACTGAGGTATTTTCTCCGTATCATTCTTCTCCCTAGGAAGTCGCTAGCTTTTTGGTGATTAAGTATCTACTGAAATGCTCCACAAGGATCAATTTTTTGTTTGTTTGTTTGTTTTGTTTTTGGAGACAGGGTCTCGCTCTGTTGTATAGGCTGGAGTGCAGTGCACCATCTGGACTCACTGCAACCTCCCCCTTCCAGGTTCAAGCAGTTCTCCTGCCTCAGCCTCCTGAGTAGCTGGAACTACAAGTGCATGCCACCACGCCCTGCTAATTTTTGTACTTTTAGTAGAGAAGGAGTTTCACCTTGTTGGCCAGGCTGGTCTCGAACTTCTGACCTCAAGTCAGAAGCCTTTGCCTAGGCTTCCCAAAAATGCTGGGATTACGGCCCTGAGCTACATGCCAGGCCACGTTTGGGTCTTCTGCCAGATAGCCTTCTGGGAGGCAGTGGGTGCGTTTAGACAGAGTAAATTGAAACAGGCCACTTTCGGTACAGTTTTTCTCAAATGAAGCTTTCAGACAAATATTATTTAACTGTTACACATTTGAGCAGATTTCAGATTATCTTTTTTTTTTTTTTTTTTTTTTTTGAGACGGAGTCTCGCTCTGTCGCCCAGGCTGGAGTGCAGTGGCCGGATCTCAGCTCACTGCAAGCTCCGCCTCCTGGGTTTACGCCATTCTCCTGCCTCAGCCTCCCGAGTAGCTGGGACTACAGGCATCCACCACCTCGCCCGGCTCATTTTTCGTATTTTTAGTAGAGACGGGGTTTCACCGTGTTAGCCAGGATGGTCTCGATCTCCTGACCTCGTGATCCGCTCGTCTGGGCCTCCCAAAGTGCTGGGATTACAGGCTTGAGCCACCGCGCCCAGCCCCAGATTATCCTTTTAACATCATTCTGATTTAGGTTCTGATGTACTTTTCTGAGTGGCAGGCAAGGATGTTTGAGCAAGTGTTTCAGCAATTTAGCATAACCCTAAGGCTAATTTATGTTATTGCCCTTTATCACCATTAAGGGTGTATTATTAGTAGCTGCTGAAAGACTTCAACATGGTTTTATATATTTATTCACTCTCTCTTTGTATCCTGTCTCCCAGCCTCCCTCTTTCCCCCAGCAACAGTATTTACATGTTAGCAATATTAGGGAAATTTGTCAAAATTTGGGTGTACCCATGGGAGGAAGTTGCTCATGTGGATGCCATCTGCCAGGAGAAAGATGGAGAACCTTTCATTCGGTAGACAGATCTCTGGATGGATGAGAAGTGAGAAACATTGTCCTGGTCACTTTGTCCCTCCCTCTCTTCTAAAGCTCTTTCACTGGCCCCTCCCCCTACCCCACATGTTATCACACTTTGTCCCTCCCTCTCTTCTAAAGCTCTTTCACTGGCCCCTCCCCCTACCCCACATGTTATCACACTTTGTCCCTCCCTCTCTTCTAAAGCTCTTTCACTGGCCCCTCCCCCTACCCCACATGTTATCACACTTTGACACCTAGGTCCTGTTCCCCTACTCTAGGGTCTCTTTTTCCAGACAAAACTTCTCCCACAGCCTTAATGATTATTTTATATACTGCTAGATCTTTATTTCCAGCCTGGGTTCTATTCTGAGTTCTAGACATTTTTAGATTGTTTTCTTCATATCTCCAGTGCATCCATTATGGATATCTCACATTTAGCTCCTAAACCCCTGTCAGCCACT